CTCAGGCAGACCTTGGGAAAAGTGGGGAAGGTGAGAACATCTGAGGGGACACTGGATGGATCCTTGGACACATGGACCTGGGAAAGGAGGAGATACTGGTTGCACTTAAACAGACCTTGGGGAAGTGTGGGGAAGGGAGAATATCTGAGGGACACGATTAACTCCTGGACACATGGAACTGGGAAAGATGGAGATACTGGTTGCTGAGCAGTCCTGGGGAAGGAAAGTGGGGGATGGAGAACATCTGAGGGGACAGTGATGGACTCCTGGACACATGGACCTGGGAAAGAAGGGATTACTGTTGCTTAGGCAGACCTTGGGAAATGGGAAGGGAGAATATCTGAGGGACACAGATTGACTCCTGGACACATGGACTTGGGAAGAAGGAGTTACTGGTTGCTGAGGCAGACCTTGGGAAAGTGGGGGAAGGGAGAATATTCTGAGGGGGACACAGTTGACTCCTGGGACACATGGACCTGGGAAAGGAGATACTGGTTGCTGAGGCAGATCTTGGAAGTGGGGAAGGGAGATATCTGAGGGGACACAGATGGGACTCATGGACACATGGATGGAAAAGGAAAAGTACTGGTTGCTTAGGCAGACCTTGGGAAAGTGGGGAAGGTGAATATCTGAGGGGATAAAGATGGGACTCCTGGCACATAGACCTGAGGAAAGCATAAAAAACACAGTAAGTGGATAGGTGGACCATAAACGATATATTCATATTGATTGTGGTGTTAGATTAGATTGACCTTAGCTTCTGGACTTCTTAAGGTATTGAAGTACAATTCTGGAGATCACAAACCATCATGACGTTCATCGTCTGAGATCTTAAATGATCTTAAAGGTAAAAGGTCAGGAATTTCCTGCCTGCAATGTAATTAAAAACCAAGCAGCGAGCAAAAAAAAGTGAAGGAGGTTGCCCAGGGGAATTGCTGTTCAGAATGTATAGGAGGAATAATATTTGTATATATAACGTTACTTTAAGATGGAAAATTATTACATGGCGTAAACTAGGGCCCCCCTCGTCCCACGTCCAAAGAACTTATTATATATTTTACGTTAGGTACAAATGAACTATAACCCATTAGGATGAGTGACATTGGTATGTCGTAAGTGATAAATTCATCGTAGGAAAGGGGAGGAATTATTTCCCAGTAAAATAGGCCTTAGACAAGGATGTGTGATGTCACCGTGCGTTGTTTATATATTTATTGATGGGGTAGTAAGACAAGTGAATGCGAGGGTCTTTGACCAAGATGTGTGTAGTTAAAAGATAAAGATATCAAGCACAAGTGGGAGTTGTCACATTTTTCTTCTTTGCTGATGACACTGTGCTTTTAGGAGATTCTGGAGAGAAGTTTGCAGAGGTTGGGGATGAATTTGGTAGGGTATGTAAAAGAAGAAATTTAAAAGTAATATAGGAAAGAGTACGGTTATGAGGAATAACAAAAAGGTTTAGGTACGATTAGATTGGATATCAGGATTGGAGGGGAGAGAGTATGGAGGAGGTGAATGTATTCAGATATTTAGGAGTGAGAAGTGTCCGCAGATGGGTCTATGAAGATGAGGTGATTCTTAGAATTGATGAGGGAAAAAAGGGTGGAGCGGTGCACTTAGGAGTCTGTGAGACAAAGAACTTTGTCCATGAAAGCAAAAGAGGGAATGTATGAGTATAGTTGTACCAACACTCTTGTATGGGTCTGTGGAATGTGTGATGAATGTTACAACGAGGAGGAGGCTGGATCAGAATGGATGATGTCTTGTCTGTGGACATATGTGTGGCGGGTTGTGATATATGCAGAGAATTCGTAGTTCTGGAATTAGGAGAAGGTGTGGGATTACCAAAACTCATTATCTCAGAGGGATGAGAAGGGGTTGAGGTGGTTCGAGACATGTAGATCAGAATGGAACAATTCAGAATGACTTCGAGAGTGTATAAATCTGTGGGGAGGGAGGCGGGGTAAGGGTCGCCTAGAAGGTTTGGAGGGAGGGGGTTAAGGGGTTTTGTGTGCGAGGGACTTGGACTTCAAGCAAGCTGGCATGCGTGAGAGCATTATGCAAGTGTGGGAGGACAGAAGATACCTGCCAGGAGAGACAGTATTGCCAGAGTGGTGGGAGGGACCCTATATACCTGCTCGGGGAAGGACAGTTATGCCAGTGTGGGAGGACACTGTTGTGTAAGGTGTTGTGGGGAAGTTTGAAGTGCTTGCAGTAACTTGCAGTGGGTGAAACCTTTACTTCACTATAACAAAACAGCAAGCCGGGCAACACAGCAAGCATATTCAACCAGAAAAGCACGTCAACACAGCAGGACGTCAACACAGCAAGGACGTCAACACAGCACGTCAACACAGCAAGCACGTCAACATAGCAAGTACGGTCAACACAGAAGCACGTTAGCAAGAAAGCACGTCAACCAAGCAAGCACGTCAGCACAGAAGCACGTCAACACACAAAGCACCTTCAAACAACAGCAAGCACGTCACACAGCAGCACGTCAACACAGCATGAACGTCAACACAGCAAGGCAACGTCACCGTGAAGAACAACAAAGTATTGCGCAAAAACGGAGGCAAACAAAAAGCAACAACAAGCTGAAACAACTTACAATACAGTACTGTGGCATGCAAAGAGTACGTAAAAAACCTTTATTTCGGCGCATGTACAATCCTCATTTTAAAGGCTATCTCCCCAACCAGCGAGCCAGGTACTAAGGGTTGATGATGGGGCCCGCGTTCAACCAGTACCCAGGTTCCAGCCAATGAGAAGAAGGATTTGGCAATCGCAGAGGTGTGGGGTACACTCGCTGTCTGCCCTTGTCATTCCTCTTATAGCTGGTTCTGTTGAAGCACGGTATGCTTCTAGTGGCTTCTATTCTGCCTGGCCCTTACCATGGAGTGCACTAATAACCTAGTGTGTACATTAGTGTATTAGTGTATATACTTTCATTTTAAAAATGATGATGAATAATGCAAGTCAAAAGTTTTTCTGCTGTGTTTATTTTTGCTTCTTTACGCCGGGTAACAGGCTTTGGGACTCATGGGTTGTAATAAATAACTTATAATGAATTGTACAGTAAACGTTCATTTCACGCTTACTAACATTTGCCGGATTTAAAGGCAAGTGAAAGTTTGTTGTGTGCAATAATTCGCAGAAATCCTTTCTAAACCTAAAGGAAAAAAATGTATGTTTATTGTGTTTGTTTATTATTTTTAACTATTAAATTGTAAAACTTAGAGGTTAGATAAGTTTTCTAAGGCTCCTTTGAAACTTTTAAATCAGGTCTTGTTACACTGACCAGTTTTTCCCTTCGGATATTGGATATTGGCAGTTTAGAGGGATATCATTTATTTACTTCACATAGGCTTCTTAACTGTTGTATCTGAGCGCCTCTGCAAAGACAGTTGATTATGTGTGAGTGAGGTGAAAGTGTGAATGATGAATGTATTTTTTGTGGGGGGTTTTTTTCAGATTATGATAAACGTGGGTGGCTCCAGCGGAGATGCCACAATGGCTACTGTCAGGGTGGCTGGTCAGAATATAACACCTTGATGCAAACTGTCAAGGGAGGTGACAAGTCAGAATAACACTTCGATGCATCGTCAGGGAGGCTGAAGTCAGAATAACACCTTCGTTGTATGTCATGGAGTCTGGTTGAGCTTTGAATCAAATTACAAGTCATGATTTTTAAAATAAAAAATTAATATTAATAAATTTATAATATAAATATAATTATAGTATATTATAATTAAAATTATATACAATATATTTGCGACCTCTTGCAGCTCAGGAGTTATCTCTGTGTTACCAGACCTTGCCACGTGGTGGCCAGTGGTCGTCTTTAAGTCCGCCCTCCCCCCCTCGCCTTTCCAGGTTCATGTGTCCAGGAATCATCCGTGGCCCAAGCGATGTCTCCCCTGCCTCACTGCCACTAAGTCAGCCTCGCCTCTCTTTATCTCTTGCCTTCCAGCCTCCGCCTTCCCCAGGTTCTTGTATCCAGGGAATCAATTTCCGTCCTCCTCCGAATGTTTTCCTTCTCACTTACCTAGGCTGCCTCACCAACCATGTATTCTTGCTGTCCCCAGGTTCATGTATCCAGGAATCCATCCGTTCGATCCTGGATGTCTCCCTTCCCCACTTACCAAGGTCGCTCAACTTGCATGTTAATTCATGCCTTACCCAGGTTCTTTGTATCCAGGAATTCAGCAGGTCTACCGGCCCGGATATCTTCCTTCCCCACTTACCCAAGGTCAGCTCTCAATACCGCATGTATTCATGCCTTACCCTGGTTCTTGTATCAGGAATCCATCCGCTCGCTCCGGATGTCTATCCCCTTCCACACTTACCTTAAGGATCAGCCTCAACAACAACGCCTTCCTAAGTCATGTTATCCCGGGAATCCATCCGCTCGCTCCCAGATGACTTCCATCCCACTTGGCCTAAGGTCGGCGGGTTCATTCCAGGATCAGTGTCTCCAGGAGTCCACTTATGTCACCTCAGATGGACCCCTTCCCCACTCCCAAAGTCGCGCGGTATTCTTGCCGTAACACAGGATCATGTATCCAGGAATCCTTCGTCTACCGCCGGATATCTTCCTTCCCCACTTACCCAAGGTCAGCCTCACTGCATGTATTCATGCCTTTCCCAGGTTATGTATCCTGGAAATCATACGCTCGCTCCCGGATGTCTCCCCTTCCCCACTTACCTAAGATCAGCCTCAACAACAAACCTTCCTCAAGTTCATGTATCACTGGAATCCATCCGCTCGCTCCCAGATGTCTTCCCTTACCCACTTGCCTAAGGTCGGCGGTGCCTTCCTGGAATTCAGTGTCTCCAGGAGTCCACTTGTGTCACCTGAGTGGACTCCCTTCCACACTTCCTAGAGTCAGCAGTGCCTTCCCCGGATTCAGGTGTCTCCAGGAGTCCACTTGTGTCTCCTGAGTGGACTCCTTCCAAACTTCTCCAGTGGTTCAGCGGTATAATTTTGCCGTCCGCAGGATCATGTATCCAGGAATCCTTCCGTCTACCGCCGGATATCTTCCCTTCCCCACTTACCCAAGGTCAGCCTCAACTACATGTATTTCTTGCCTTGCTAGGTTCAATGTATCCAGGAATCCTTCCGCTCGCTCCGGATTGTTCCCCTCCCCACTTACCCAAGGTTCAGCCTCAACAACAAACCTTCCTCAAGTTTATGTATCCAGGAATCCATCCGCTCGCTCCGGATGTCTTTCCCTTCCCCATTTTCCCTAAGGTCGGCGGTTTGGCCTTCCCCGGCATCAGTGTCTTCCAGGAGTCCACTTGTGTCACCTCTGAAGTGGACTCCCTTCCCCACTTCCCCAGAGGTCAGCGGTTGCCCTTCCCCGGATCAGTGTCTCCATGGTGTCCACTTGTGTACCTCAGGTGGGACCTCCCTTCCACACTTCCCCAGAGTCAGGCGGTGCTTTGCCACCTTCAGTGACCTCGCTGCATGGAAGCTTGGTCTTGTCTAGCTGTTACGGTAGAGACTGTCCAGGTGGGTGGAATTACTGGAAGGTGCCACACACAGAAAACTGCGTCCAGTAATTACTCCCACCCAAGACAGCCGCGACCGTTTGGTCAGCTAGACGCCACCAAGCGGCCTCCACAGTTCGCCACCTCGGAGAGGCTAATTAACGTAAAATTTTGGAAATCCTTTTAATGTTACACTATTGAAATATACGAAGAAAAGTTTTTTTTACTTATTTAGCTGTTTTAAAAGTATTTGTGTTTTAGTATTGCAGAATGAATACCGAAAATGTTGGTTAATTTGATACCTCCTGATACTGTGTGTCATGTTGTACATGTTATTATGTAACATTTAATACACGTGTTGTTGCATGTGTGCCATCTGGACATTTGTGTTGATTGTCTTCTGTACATGTTGTTTGTTGATTGTCATTTTGAACTGTTTTGTGTTTTTTTTTGGATGATTGTCATGTGTAATGTTGTTGATTGTCATGATGTACATGTGTGTTGATGATTGTCATGTGTACTGTGTGTTGTTTGTCATGTGTAAAGTTATTATGTATGAATGTTTATAAGTGTATGAATGTCGGGTGTACATGTTATTGTGTATGTGTAAGTGTAAGTGAGAATCTCTAAATCTCCTCATGAAAACTGAAACAAATTTAAAAAAAAACTTCTGTTTTTCGTGTTTCATAAATGAATTTTGAAGGTCGGAAATGAAATTTTTTATTTGTTTTTATAATACATGTTACGGCACATGTATAATGTGTGTACAGGAGTTTTTACACCAGTTTATTAATAAAGTTTGGTCTCATGATGGCTTGCTTGTGTGTGTACATATATTTATATATTTTATATATTATATATTTTATATATATATATATATTTATATATATATATATATTTTTTTAATATATATATTATATATATATATATTATATACATATATATTTATATATATATATATATATTATATATTTATATATATATTTTTTTACATTTACATATTATATATATTTTTTTATATATATATATATATACTATAATATATATATATATATTATATATATTTATATATATATTGTCTTTTGAGCAAAGTACAGTGACATCACACGTCTTTAACATCCAACAGGCGACATCACACAACGTTATCTAAGACTCATTTTTTGGGGTGCTATTTACCATCTTTCTTGCATATGTAATTAATTCAACACTTTTGCTATCAAAAGCTCTACTCTGTTAACATCTCTTATATATCTTTTCCCACAAGTATAAATTACGCAAGTGAACTTTGCTTTATATTAAGTGTTGTTAAGTTTCAGTATTTCAAGTGTTAACCACATGATCCACGTTACCTTCATTTCTCAACTGTCACTCTTCTGTGTTTCAATATTATCTTTAGTCATGTCACTTCATTAATCATAATTCTGACATAAACTTTACCTGGTATTGTCAGCAGTCTCCAGGCTGACAGCGGAGTCAGTACAAACACAGTACTACCAACACACTTTATACATACATGTGTTCACATAAACATCACTACAAACTCAGTACTACCATCACACTTATTATACATACATGTGTACAACATACACATCACTACAAACTGTAATACCAACACTTATTTACATACATGTGTACAATGCACTTCACTACTACACAGTACTACCAACAACATATATACATACTGTGTAACATTACACATCATCTACAAACACAGTATACCAACACTTATTTTTACATACAAGTGTACACATACACTTCACTACCAAACACAGTACTACCAACACACATTTATACTTACATGTGTTGTACACATACAACTTCACTACAAACACTGTAACTACCATCACACATATATATCATCATGTGTTACACATTACATTCACTACAAACACAGTACTACCAACACATATTTACATTACATGTGGACACATACACATACACTACAAACAATTATACACACCATGTTATACATGTGTAACTTACACACATCTACAAACACACTACTACCAACACACTTTTTACCATACAATGTGTTACATATACACATCTCTTCAAAACAACTTACTACAACACACAGATATACATACATGTGAACACATACACATCATCTACAAACTCACTAATACCAACACACATATATACTTTCATGTGTACACATACACATCACTACAAACACACACTTCCAACACATATTTACATACATGTGTACACATATACATTACAAATCACACTAACTACCAACACACACAATATACATACATGTTTACATAACAATCACTACATACACACTACTTCAACACACATACATACATGTGTAACACATACATCGCTACAAACACCACTACTAGGCAACCACACATATATACATGTGTACACGTTATCACTGGTCATAATCTACACTCTCTTCACCCATGTTTAAGTTAATTTAATATTGTATAAATGTGTAAAAGGATTTTAGAAAAATTTTGTTTATATAATGTAATGAGGGTTATAATATTTTGATGAATAATATGGAAAAAGATGTAAATATGTGAAGAAGTAGTTGACAAATTGAGAAGACTTGTGGTTAAGATAAAGAAGATATTCTTATTAACACTTATGTTTAAGAAGAAATTAATTATTAATTAACTCTCTCAGTTCTCATACAACATATTCTCACTTCTTCATTAATAACATAAGGAAACTTTCACCGTCACAGATAAAACAAAAAACTTTCGGTGATGAAATAAAAACTGTCAACTTGAGATGATTCGATCTCTATGACAATACGAATTTTGGTCGGTGGACTGCCCACAACCTGGCCAGTACGACGCCACAACCTGGCCAGTTACGACTGTGTGTTTGCTACAACCTGGCCAGTACGACTGTGTGCTACTGTCTCCCAGACTGTTGTTATGTTCTGTGATGTATCAATGTACCCTAAATGACATACTGCACCACTGTAGTTTGTAGTGCATCTATGTTGCAAAGATATATGCCACAAAACAGGATAGTACTGCTTTTATTTATTTTCCACCATCGTTGTGTTGTGATGTGTATAAAGTTGTCTGATACACCAAAGTTAATAACACGTATATAACATGTTTGGTAAATATCTGATTAAAGACTTATTAAAAGGATTATTGTCTTAGGATTCTGTTGCTAGGATGCAAGTGTGTAAGTCTGACGCTACTGGAAGAGACATACTGCGAAGGATTGTTACAAAGAATGTTTTAGAAGATTCTGGTGGGTTTATGCTGGAAATAGAGTGATGCAGGACTCTGTTGGTTAAGAAATTTTATGGTAGCGGTTCGTTTTGTTACTTATAAGATGAATCAAGTCAGCTGGTATTATAACGTCTGTGTGATGGTGGTGCTCCACCCAGATTATCCTTTCAGTGACTCTTTTTTTAAGTTTTTCATGAGGGAAGGGGAATGTTGTTCTCTTTTTGTCACTTCACAGATTATAAATCGGTGCAGATGTTTCCTCTAGACAAATTATTGATTGATTGATTTATATGAGATATACAAGTAGAGGGTGACATTATCTTTACATAACTGTGTTCTCTTTTCTTCCTCAGATACACAGTACTCGTGTGAAAAGAAACCTCACCAACTTCAAATACACGACTAATACATCCCAAGAAGTAAGGATGGCCACCAAGCCAGGAGCTTGACACCAACTGTAATAAAGGTGACCAATAGAAATTCGGTGTGCTGGACAAACTAGAGTTGGAAAAATAATATTATATACTTAAAATAGGAAAACACAAGAACTATATGTGTCTCATGGGTCTTATACATTGTGATAACGTCTCCTCGGCAGTCTAACTTTAAACTCTGGCAAACAAGACACAGCACTTTCTCTGAACATTCTCTATACGTTAACATGTTCGTAGAGGTTCGGGTTTTTGTGGTGCTGCATACTCCATAATAGACAACACATCTATTACAGTGCCCGGAATAATTCGTCGAGATTCTGGAAGGTTGATCACACTGTGTCCTTTCACTCTGAGGTTTTGTGGCTGTGTCCCTGAAGTCTGTGTTCTGAGTCCGCTAATCTTGCCTCTTCGTTAATTTTTTTAACGTCACTTTCAAGGAACCAGTCCAGGGCGAGGAAACATGATGGGAAAGCCGTCACTGCGATGGAATATGACAGGGGCACGAACAGGGCGTTGGAATATGAGAAGGAAAAGGAGTTCAGGGAGATAGAATATGAAAAGGGAAAAATGATCAGAAAATAGAATAGACTGTGTAAACCCGTCAGGGAAATGGTATATGATGGGGCAACTTGGTTAGGGCGATGGAATATGACAGGAAGCTCGTACGGACAAAAACGAGTATGAGAGAGAAACCCGTCAGGGAGATGGAATATAACATGGAAACCTTTTCCAGGGCGATGTAATATGACAAGGAAACCGTCAAAGGAATTTGAATATGAGTGGGAAACCCGGTCCAGGGCAAGGAATACGACAGAGAAACCCGTCAGGGCGATGGAATATGAAAGGGAAACCCACCCCAGGGGACGGAATATGACAGGGAAAACTCGTTCAGGGCGATGGAATATGACAGGGAAACCCGTCCAGGAGATGGAATATGAAAGGGAAAACCCCGTCCAGGCGTGATGGGAATATGGCAGGGAAAACCGTACTGGGCGATGGAAAAAAGACAGGGGAAACCCGTCGAGGGCGATGGATGTGACGGAAACAATTTAGGGCAATGGGAAAATGACTGAGTACACCTGTCCACGGTGATGGAAAAATAGCCGGGGAACCCTGACAGGGCGATGGGAATATTGCGAAACGTCAATGCGAGGAAATACGACAGAAAATCTGTCTACTGAAACTAGAAAATGACAGCAAAACTCATCCTTACATTAGAAAACGACAGGAAAACAGTTCCATATTAAAGGAAATGAAAGAAAAAACCCGCCCAAGGCTTATGGAAATGAGAAGTTCTGTTCAGGGGAAGATGGAACATAGAAGACCGTCCATGTCGATGGAAGATGACAGAGAAAACCGTCCAGAGCGATGAAAAACTACATGAACAATCCAGGCGATTGTACATGAGAGGGAAACCTTTGAAGGTCGTTGGAAAATGACTGGGAAATCTTTCCAAGGCGATTGGAAAATGAAACGAAAACTCGTTCAAGGTGATGGAATATGACAGAAAAAAACTCGTCCAGGACTATTGAAAAATGACAGGCAGGAACCCGTCTATGACGAGGAAAAATGAAAAGAAAACTGTTCAGGGCGAGTAGTTAAATTGAGAGAGAAACAAGTTCAGACTTATGGATTATTATGGCGACGGAATAATGACAGGGAAAAAAACCAGGTAGATCGATGATAAATGATTAAGGACACCTGTCATCTCTCATGGAATATGACAAAAAAAAACTTCTAGGGCGGAAGGAAGTGACTGGGAATTACATTCAGGCGATGGAGTAAATGCGAATACGTCAAGGGCGACGTAAAAAAGACAGAAAACAAGTCAAGGAGATGTGAAATATGACAGGAAACCTGTCCAGGGGTGGTGGTAATGACAGGTGGATATTGGTCAGGTGGATAATGCAACATAATAATATTAAGGCTTGCGAGTTAAAAATTACCTAAACATTAAAGTTAAGTATTATTTTATAGCATAAACATTATGACTGAAGAAATACCATTGTGTGGCACAACATTCAAGGTATAATTACTGTTAACATTTAAACATTCAACACATTACAACAAAACATTAATTTTACATTTTGACTGACATTCACACATAACCGAACATTTACAACATACATAGTATGTTAGACAGAGTCGTACTGTTCCAGTCTGCAAGAACCACCATCTTATTCTAGTTATTATTGTATCTCAAAAACGTGTATAGTGTGTGTGTGTGTGTGTGGGTGTGTTGTGTGTGTGTGTGTGATGTGTGTGTGTGTGTGTGTGTGTGTGTGTCGTGTGTGGTGTGTGTGTGTGTGTGCTCCATGGCGTAGTTTTGTGCGTTGTATGAATGATGTAAACCCACAAGCATCGTTTGCGGAAATGCGCAAATGAGTGTCATAAACAAGTGTAGTGTAAGTTAAGGGAAGTTTACTTAGGTACAGTAAATGTAAAAACAGTGACCAATTTATTATACATATTAACGAATATGTAAATACCCAGAATACCCAAAAAGTAGATAATGTGACTTATTTCCAGAGATGACGGCGGCTTTAATGTTCGTTTAGGCAAATACATAACATAAATAACCATATAAAAATATTAAGTTTTTAATACTTATTACAGTTGTGGTGGAGGTGGACAGACATATTAACACACCAACACTTCATCAACCACACAATAAAACATTTCACAAATGTTCTTAAGCATGCTTATTAAGTACAAAAGAACTTACTTTAATGTTGATGAATTTTATGACATAAATAGAAATTCCCAATATTTTCACTGAGTGGCCAGACCTTGGTGGGGTGAACTGGACGGTAGCTTGGGCTGGTCTAGCTGACTATGTTCCAGGATGTCTTGGTGGGTGTTATTACTGGACGCAGTTTTCTGTGTGATCACACCAGTAATTCCACCCACCTGGACAGTCTCTACCGTAGACCAGCTAGACAAGGTCTCCTTCTCAGAATAGCTAGATCCAGGAGGGTGGCTGGCTGACTTCGGGATACATAACCTGGGGAAGGCTGAGACTGGAAGATATCCTAAGGGAAGTGAGGAAGGGGAGACATTCCGGGGCCCACGGAGGATTTCCTTGATACTTGAACCTGGGGAAGGTGAGTATACCTTGGGGAAGTGGGGAGGGAGAATAATCTGAAGGAGGACGATGGACCCTAAGACAACATGGACCTGGGAAGTTCGAGGTACTGGTTTGCTAAGGCAGACCTTGGGGTAGTGGGTAAGGGACGAATATCTGAGGGGACACATATGGCTCCTGACACATGAACCTGGGGAAAGCATCAAAAACACAGTAAGTGGGTTGGTGGACCTTAAAAGACGAACCAACTGGCCTCCAAGTGGCAAGGTCTGGTAATCAGAGATAATTCTGAGGCTGACAGTGGTCGCAAAGTTTTTTCTTAATTCATGCATTACAGGTTTGTGACACACTGGATACCTTCTCGGATAATTGTAGTATAGTATGATATGCAAGGATCCATTTTTCAGATTATTCATTATTATTAGTATTATAATTATTAGAAAGTAATAAAAATGAGTGTGAAAGGTGAGCCTGTAAGTGGTCACATACACAACTACTTACCCTCTGGGTTTTCTTCTGTTCGTTTTCATGTTTTCTCTTGTTTATTTCTGTTATCTCTTGGGAAGGGGAACAGAATTCTTCCTACGTACGCTATGCGTGTCGTAGGAGGCGACTAATGCGGAGCAATAGGCTAGTAGCCCCTTCTCCTGTATAAACTACTAAAAGTAAGGAAAAGGAAAAACTATAAAAACTGGGCAGATGTTTGAATGTTACGTTGATGTAAGGCGGATGATAAGAAAAGAAATGATTGCCTAATGTTATGAATGAAAAGAAGTTGATGTCCTGGCCCTAAAACGAAACAAGATGAAGGGGGGTAGGGGAGTTTAATGGGATTACGTTAGGAGAATCTGAGAGTGTTAGAGCTAAGGAAAGTGTAGCAATAATGTTGAAGGATCATTTTATGGAGAGAGAAGAGGGAATATAAATATATAAATTCAAGGATTATGTGGTTTAAATAAGGGTCGGATGTGAAAAGTGGATCATGTGAAAAGTAAAAAAGTGGATCATAATAAGTGTGTGGATCATAATAGTGTGTATGCATTAAGAAAACAAAGGGTTTTTAAAAATTGACGTGCAGTTGGAGTGTGAGCAAAGTAACATTTATGAAGGGATTCAGGGAAAACGGCAGGCCGGACTTGAGTCCTGGAGACGGGAAGTACAGTGTCTACACTCTGAAGGAGGGGTGTTAATGTTGCAGTTTTATAAATGTAGTGTAACGCTCTCCTCTGGCAAGACAGTGATGGAGTGAATGATGAAAGTTTTTCTTTTTCGGGCCACCCTGCCTTGGTGGGAATCGGCCGATGTGTTAAAAAAAAAAAAATAGGAAAGCAGCTCTTGTGTTGCCAGAGAGAAAGATTTACACGAAGATTCTGTATTTCTTAGGCAATAAATTCCATGGTTACAAACATAACTAAAATTGTCTATGAAACATTAAGGGGACGAATTATATTAATCTACCGGTGAAGATAGTGGTAGCACTGAAAGTGGCAGAGGCACTGATAGATGAAGTTATGGTGTAGGTGGCAGTGGTAGTTATGGTTTTAAATGTGGTTGTGGTTGTGGTAGTTGTGGTGTGTTACAAAAAACGCGATTCTAAAAGCTTAGAGATCTCCAGTGAATACTAGAAAGGATTGCCCTTCTAGCATCCAGCCTGTTACTGGGTTTTCGTAACAAGTAGTCAGTATCCTTGTCCAATTATCCATTATAAATCAGTATTGTTCAATAGCGCCTTAGGATTACAACTGGTAGGCTACTAACTAGAGAAATTAAAATTTAATAAATTTATTAAGTCTATAAGTTGTCTAGAGGTATATTATCAAAGTAAATTAAATCACAGCAATCAAAATAAAATCAATCTCTCGAGTTCAATATTATTGTGCTGAAAGCACATATCACATTTATAATTCTTAAGTACCGTCAGGTACTTTAA